ATATATATATATGTACATATGAAGACTTATGTACATATATGACTCTGTATACAAAACCGAGTAGCCTACAGGGTCCGTGTGTATTGCCAGTGTGAATGTTTTGTCCGCAAAACCATAGTGAGGATAGTCTGTTGGGGCTGCAATTCTTTATTCCATTATGGCAGTACATATGGACCCTCTGGGTAATGCTATGTGTGCAGATGTGTCGCCGCTCTTCCCCGTCTAGCCGGGCCCTTCCTCGCCTGACTGGTGAAGAGATATCAGGCGCGAAGCGGATATAACCAGTCTCGAACCCCTTAAAAGAGCCTTAAACTGGAACCCCATAGCCTATAGTATCCCCCACAAGCCAGAGGTTACGGCGGTGGCGAGGCGCCGCCGCAGTGGAACTCAGTTCGTCAGTTTTTGTTCGAAGCAGGGGAGCTTTGAGTTTTGGGTTTGGCGTTTGGAGGTTTTAGGGTTCCCTTTTGACTGTAGAGGAGGCTTTGATTTTGGGGTGTTTGGAGTGAGGGCTTACATGGGGGATTAGAGGTTTGGGAAGTTTGAAGGTGTGGGCTTTTTCAAATCCCTAAACTCCTAAACCCTACACCCTGAACCCTAAACGCTAAACTTAATTTAGCTTTCAGGGTTCGTGGTTCCAGGCTAGCCGCTAGCGTCAAGCTTTTGAAGCGTGTTGGCACCTCAAGGTTTCAGGATCCAGGGCTTCAGGCTTTTAAGAGTTTAATATAGGGGCCTAAATAATTACCAATGCAATTCTGGATGTTCTTGTTTTTCATATTATAGTATAATACACCCCAAAACCCTATTCCAATTATTAAGGCCCCTATATTGCGGCTTTAGGGCTTCTAGATATGAGAGCTTACGACTTTGAACTGTTTTGCAAGGGTTGGCGGGGGTTCCGGATTCCTCATTTTAGGTTCAAGTCTCGGGGTACAATGATCAGCGGGCTAGGTTGTCCAGGGGTTGGCAGTCAGGACTGGGGGCAGTGAGTATCTAATCCCTAAGCCTAAACCCCCGAAGCCCTAAACCTTAACCCTAAAGCCAGTGGTCAGCACCGAGAGGTTCTGGACCTCGAGGAAGTACAGCCAACAACGCATGTGCCCTAAGGCTCCATGTACCTATATAGGCTTCCTTTAAAAGGGGGGTCCTGCCATGGGATACCATTAAGGGCTTAGGGATATTAGGGTATAAAGCTCCATGTGCCTATATAGCAAGTACTTTGGCTTCAAAGGACTTAATTGCTTAAGAAGCTTTTTTAAGTATAAACTATGTATACTGGCACATGAAGCCTTAGGGTGGGGCGATCCGAAGCAGAGGGGCAGAGGCCAGAAGCTCGGCCCCGTTCGTCGAAGTTCTCTGCAGCCTGTGGCACCCAAGTAAGACAGCCATCGACAAGGATTCTAATGGCGTTTCGGTGGATAAACTCCCTAAGCCCTGGACCCCTACACCGTAAACCCTAAACCCCTACACCCCAAACCCTAAGCCTTCATGAACCTGGTTCTCCAGGTGGATCCATGTATCAACTTGGGTTTGGGGCTTAGAGTTTAGGGTTGGGGGCTTGGGGTTTAGAGTTTAGGGGTTAAGGGCACCAGGACATGGTGTGGGCGAGAGAGATTTACTGAGCCAATGGCCGCCACTAAGCTACGCAACAAGAAGAAGCTAGACTGAAGAAACCCTAAACCCTAAACCCTCTAAGCGTGTAGAACCCTGCAGCCTACAGTCTGGACCCCCCAAAAAGACCCCCTGAACATGCGTCGCTGAGGCCTGCACCGGCCCCTGTCATGACACGATGCGCGGGCGATACGGGAGGTGCCAGGTTCAGGTTTTGGTTTGGTTCTGACTTCTTGTTGGAGGCCTCATACGGGGTTCTGCAAAGGGTGATCTTGGCCCCGAAAAGAAGTGCTCTACTCGCCACCGAGAAGCTTAATTCATCGGTCTCGAGCGTTGACAAGCCTTGCTCCTGTTACTCCCGCTAGACCCAAAACCCCTAAACCCTAAACCCCAAAACCCTGAACCCCAAAACCCTAAACCTCGAACCCCAAGACCCCGAACCCCAAAACCCTAAACCCCAACCCCATTATTCTCGAAAGCGCCCTTGGGCTGAACGTGACTTGGCTAAGAAACAAACGGTGGCAATGTAGGGGCCTAAATATGTTTCAAACAATTACTATTGTAGTGGTTCCTTATTATAATGATAGCATAATGGGCCCTAAAACCCTATTTTGATTATTAAGGCCACACGTAGTCAGCGAGTTTCGGGTTTGGTAGGGGTTCCAGGTGGCACTTTGGGAAACTGCTTGATTTCCTTTGATGGAGGTACTTATTCATATGATTATATGTCAGAACTACAACCCAGGTTTTGGGCTGAGGGTGTATTTCGAAGTCAACGCAGATGGAACTCAGGCCTCTCAAACTGGTGACTGCAACCCTCAACCCCACTGCCAGGTCGAGGTTCGGATTTTAGAATTAAGTTACCATAAGCAAACTGACAGAAACAACAAACCCTGCCCTAGATCCTAAAACCTGGGCCCTAGCTGACATAGACCCTCCATAGGGGACCCCTACCGAAGCACCCTTGATTCAATGACCGGTTTAGGGTTTAGGGTTTTGGGGTTTAGGGTCCAGGGTTTAGATCCATGGCACTGCTGCAGTTGCCGGGGCATTTGGCACAGAGGAACCGTCATTCATACACATCCAAAGCCCAAAAGCCCAAAACTGTAAGCCCCCAAAAAAACCTCTACTCTGCCTCCAGTTTGGTGGCCTTTTGATGCCTTTTGGGCATGTATGCGTGCAGCCCTAAACCCTGAAACCTGGTGAATTTCAGTGCCCTAGACCCTAAACGCCAAACCCTAAACCCTAAACCCTAAACGAAACCATGGCGGAAGGTTCCTTCTCGAGCCCAAAAGCACCGGAGGGAGAACTGCCCCGCGGCTTTGGGTTTAGAGATCTGTCTAGTGCCATAACTGGTTTAGGGTTTAGGGTTTAGGGTTTAGGGGTGTTTTCAAGTTTTTCTATGTTGAGATAAGAGGGCTTCTAAATTGTTCTTTGTTTACAAGGATTGTTTTCAAGTTTTCATGATCAGGAATCTTGGTAGATGCGAAAGTTGCAGCTACGGGCTATTGGTACCACAGTTCGGTTAGCCTATCTACCCTTTGTTGTTGTTGTTGTTGTTGTTGTTGTCGTCGTCGTCGTCGTCGTCGTCGTCGTTGTTGTTGTTGTTGTCGTTGTTTGCTTTTTTTTCTCGCTCTCTCTCTCTCTCTCTATCTATCTATCTATCTATCTATCTATCTATCTGTATATACATACATAAGCACACATACGCAGTATGCGCATCCGTAACCTATATATATATATATATATATATACAAATATATATATATATATATATACATACATACATACACGCATGTTCACGCATGCGTATACCTACCTACCTACCTACCATACATAATTACATACTCAGGGGTTTGGGATCATGGAGCTTAGGGGTGGAGGGGTTCAGGGTTTCGGGTTTATGGCCTGTCCTGGATAATCTGCACCGCTGACTGCGGAGAGTTCTTCCAGAGCTTGCTCCAGGTGCCTAAGCGGAAGTTGCAGACCGCTGACTGCATCATCTCTTGCAGGCATCCCGCCGGCTACACAAGAACACTCTACAGGTGTAGGGTTTAGGGTTTAGGGTATAGGGTTTAGGTGCGCAATGGCTGTGGACTCATGGCCCGCTGCACTTCCCTTCCTGACTGGTTTGGCAGGGACGAACACCTGGGGGTTCGGGCGCATCAATCAAAGAAGTCGTGATGCACGCTTCATGGTAGCTCGCAGTGCCTTGGCTGCAGGCTCGTCATCTCGATCCCGGTCTCGGTCTGTGCATCGGTCTGAGCTTCGGCGGCCTTCGAGCGTTAAGCTCCCGGAATGGATGGGCGAAGAGCTCAGGGAGTGGACAGATGATGTGTCCCGAACCACCATGAGTGCAGAGCTCCCGGAATTGCACTGTTAGCCCTGTGGCATCCACTTGCTATTCCTTCTGTACAGGTTGTAGAGCCTTCGATGATGCTTCATGAATCGGAAGTGCCGCCAGGGTCTTGCCTTGCGCAGAAAGGACCCCCCGACCTCAGCGCACGATTGCACCGAAGACAACTCAGAGACATAATGTAAGAACCTGATTAAGAAATCCTGCTTCTACAACCTCAACATATTATCCCATCTATATGAAAGAACCCTAATAGAGACCCAAGATATCTGCTTGGACCCTTAACGTGAGATCTCAATCCTATACTCTGAGGCCAGAAGACCCGAACTCCAAACCTCAAAGCCCAACCGAAACCTGACCTTAAAGTCCAAAATCCTCCCAGAAAAAACCGAGACCTTATCTTAAGGTCTAAAGCCCGTCAAGAAAATGAAAAACATAACCTCAAGTTTTTAAAGCCCTGAATCTCAAAACCTTGGGGCTGAATTCCCTGAGTCCTACATGCCCAAACACCCTAAATTCCTAAGCCCCGTATCCTGGATATCCTGGACCCTAGAGCATGGGGCCGGGAACCCCAAACTCCGATACCCGAAACCCCAAATCTTTAAAACCGGAAGCCTCCGGTTTAGGGTTTAGGATTTACGGTTTAGGGTTTTGGATTTAGGGTTTAGGGGTTTAGGGTTTAGGGTTTAGGAGTTTAGGGCTTAGGGTTTAGGATTTATGGTTTAGGGGTTTAGGGCTTCAGGTTTAGGGTTTAGGGCTTTAGGGCTTCAGGGCTTAAGGTTAAGGGTTCAGGGCTTCAGGGCTTTAGGGCTTTAGGGCTGGGTTTTGGGCGTAGGGTTTAGGGTTTAGGGCTCCGGATGCAAGGATGAGATCTGTCATGGACTCCATGGCCGCAGACAATGAGGCTTGTGCGAAGAGCGAGTCAGAGGGCGGGATTTTCAGCAAACGCCCTCTTAAAGATGAGCGTAACCACGAATTCCAGAGTTGGGGGGGGAGGTTTGCTTTGAAAGGGTCTTGCAAGGTTTTGGACAGGAATGTAGGTGGTTGTTCTATCAGGGACCTTTGGGGACCTCCTGGTAAGGGAACCCGAAGCACCTTTGGGGAAACCCACCGTAGAGTCAGAGTTTCGGGACTCAGGTATCTTTGGGATAAGAGTTGCTTAATGATATAGGCTTCCAATTCCTGGCACAAGACTGGAAGTTTGGGTGTTGGAAGCTCAGCGACAACCCTGAACCAAAAAATCCCGTAAATCTCTAGCTCCAAGCCCCCTAGACTCTAAACCTTATAAACACACCCCCAAATCCTTGAAATGCCAGGATGCTGAACAACTCACCCTGGTGTGCTTGCACGCTTGAGACAACTTTCAAAGACCAAAACAGCCAAGACAAGGAGCCCAAACTACAGACTCTCAACCCTATAAGTCCTAAATCTTTCTCCCAAAGCCCGAAACCCACTGGACCGGCGCTTATCCGAACGCACCATTAACATTTATATATATATATATATATATGCAACGTTTGCAGAAAATGCTTGTCCTGCCAGCAACCAGAAAATCAGACTTGATGCAAGTGTTCTCTCAAGACAACCTAAACCCCAAACTGCGCAGAGACGATAAGACCGATAAAGCTGATAAACTCTATAACTCTATAATAAACACGACGAGCCCCTGAAGACATATAAACCCCCAAGCCCTAAAATCTAAACCGGGAACTCGAGTAGAACCCTTAAACGAACCCAAACACCCAGCCCCAAACACGAAACCCCGACCCCTAAACCCCCAAGGCCCAAAAACTACAGACCCTAGAGCCCTAAATCTGAAAAACGCCCTAAGCTTCAAACCGTACCTTCACCCCCGAAAACCTCCACTCTTTAGGGTTGATACAAAGAAATCACTGGTCATAGCAAGGAACTCTGAAAAGGTAGGGTTTCCTGAGTGGTTCATAAGGTATACAATCTAGGTTCCCCAGTAGTACCCTTTTGCGCTTTTTTCTGGGCTCCCTTATTCAAACCAAATAGTAGGAAAAAGGGTACCCTTATAATTAAGGGGCTACTGGGGAACCTAAACCCTAAACCCTAAACCCTAAACCCTTATTATTAAGGGGCTACTGGGGAACCTAGGCATGCCGTCTTGCTGGAGTTGCCGGGTATGGGATCTCGGCTCCACATCGCCGTGAGCCAC